GGTCAATCAAAGATTGATCCAACTATAAGGATCATTTAGAGAAGCCAGGTAAAATTAAGGTAAAGATGCAGAGTATCCATGTATCTTTAATCATTTACTGCTTATTATGTAATAATTGTAAGTGTGCAATTTTGAAACAACATTATTATACTCTTATTATTACGAGCCAATGTTTAATATCTAGGCATAAATTGGGATGGGAAGGTATTAGTATGTTAAATAAAAGATTTAAAAACATGGAGTTCATGGAGGACTATGTGGGAATGGGTAAAGGTTAAATTATAATAGGGGCCCATGGTAGTGAGGATACTGGAATCCAGTGGGCACTTCATGGCTGCCTTTTGTACATCATCCCCTACCAGTAACACTCAGCTGAAGGCTGGCGGGAGGAATGTCGATCCACTAATAATAGTGGTTGCAGCAACAGTTTAGCAGTCACATTATGAGTGGGTGCTCGACGAATACTTTTTGATAGGTTATCTAGTAGACACAAATTTGCTCCTTCAAAATCTATGTACGAGGACCTTATACATTTCAGCATTAAATTACTCCCGAGCAAGGAAGATATAGAGGAATGTTTTGCCGGTGGCAGCTAGATATCATCAGCCAGTGAAGGCAGACATGTAAAGGCGGGGCTTTTCTTTTTACCTACCTCCAATCCTTCTCCTCCCAACCCAAGCTCTGATCAGTCTCATGAAATCAACCTGCAAGTGAACTGGCAGACATCCCCCACGTTTCTGTACTCCAGAATGAGGGCCTCCTCGTGCCTCTATAGAGAACTAGGTAAAAAGTCATTAAAGGAGAGGCAAACAGAAATCAGTGGGCTGTGTTTATTTATCCCGTCTTAGCAGCCTGAGAGCAGTAACTGCTGCACACGGGACCTTGTGAGCTTATTCTAAAAGATGGCTGTGTGGGAAGCGAGTGTGGGATGATGCAAATGACTGGCCATCAACGAGGGGGAAGAAAGAGGGAAATGATATTTTAGAACTTTCCACTAATATTCTGGGAAAAGACTGCAGTAAATTGTTTAACGTCTACAAATTCCTCCTATAGTCGCCTCTTCGCCATCTGACTTGGCCTGTGCCTCCTGTCTGAAGGTGGAGTCTACAATCTTTCTCTACCCGCATCCATCTGGGTGGGCCTTGTGATTGTTTGGACCCAAAGATACAGCCATAGGGATAGGGATGTTGAACAAATCTTGGAGATATCTTGTAGTTTGGGCCTCTGCCCTCTTCAGAAAAAGATGCCCTAAGACCTGTCAGGGAAAACAACCTGGGAAAAAGACCTCTTGAGAATGAGAGAGACCCAGATATTGAAGCTCTCTCAGTTCAATCCACCCCAGCTGACCAGTCAGCTATATGCAACCTATGAGAGAAGCAAGGATTGACTACCAGAAAAATCATAGATCAACTTACAGGATTCTGAGGATAATAAATTCTTATTGTTTTGAGGTTTAGGGTGGTTTGTCATGCAGCAAAAGATAATGGAAATAGGTCAACAAATGTAGTTGACCCTTTTTTTCTTTAACATTTTCAGAAAATCTATGGTCAGAATTAGAAGAGACCTAAAGAGATTATTTTATGTGTTTTTGTTTAAATGATTTATGACATTAACTGGAAAGTCACCAAACATTATTCTTCAATCTCATCTTTGAAGTTCATTTGGCTTTAATTGGAAAACAAACAACAAAAAACAACTATTCATTTTATATGAAAAGAAATACCACAAAGCAAAATTTAAAGATTAGTGTAATATAACTTATCATTGAATTATAAATTTAACATTTGAGGTTTAAATAACCTTCCGAATTTTTTTCCTGGGAAACCAAGAGCATTTGCAAAATTAGGCATAAGGACTTTTTCCCCCCGTGAAAGTTCTCAGTAAAGCAAAAGAGAACAACTCTGTGATCAAATTATCCCCAAACCATTAATTAGAGCCAGATGCTAAAGGAGAGTTCAAGTTCCTTAATTTTATTTACTAATCTACAAACAGAAACATCAGAAAAATATCCCTCAGATCTTATTCACATACTTCAGAATAAGGCTCATTTATTTTTATTTATGTGTTTACATATGTTTATAACACCTACACCACATTAAGCAAATATATCTCTACCTAAATACAGCAATAAGCCTGTTTCCACAGAGGATACTGAATACATGTTATTTTCCCCTATTTACCTATTCATCAAAATTCTGGCAAGCATTTCATGAGACTGTATTAGTTTGAAACACCTAACATTTCTATTATAAAAGTTTCCCAAGGTGTCTCAAGTGAAGATGGGAAGAATTATATATGTATATAGGTTCAAATATAACAGCAAAACTTGAGTGTAATGCCTACATTTGCAGCAGGAGTTATTCTGAGTTGCCATAGCAGCCACCCACACTCACACACACACAAAGGGGTGGTAGAGAGAAAAGCAGTTAGTAGAGAAAAGAATCTATTGTTTAAAAGACAGAGTTTCCCTGTCTTTTGTTGTAATTACAGGCAGGAATTCTGACTTTTCAACTGAATCGCTGTTTAATGATAGAAGATTTCCGAGTGTTGGAGTGTTATTAAACGTTTCTTCTCTAAACACATCTACCATCCGAACCTTTAGGAGTGCTGAGATTATGCGGGAGCAGGAAGGAATTCAGCTGACCACATGTCAGGGCTAATGTGACTTAATGATTCCCTCTCTGGAACATTTGGAATCACCTAGCCAGAAAAGCTTGTGGTTCTATGGATTTGTGTGATCACTTCACTCTGTCCTCATCTGTAAAGTGGGCATAATAATAGTACCTATTTCAAGGAGCTGTTATGATAATTCAATAAATTAGTACAAATAATAAATTATTACATAAATGATAAAAAGTCAAGAATAAATTTTAATAATCCATAAATAAGAATTAGTAGCATATTAGATAAATTAGTAAAACTGCAGCACTTAGTACCTGACAAATAATAAATAAATGTTTGCTATACTAATAATAAAATTATTACTATTATAAGCATCTCCAACTCTTTATTATAGACTAGAACAGTATGGTTTATAATTAATATATTCCTTAAATAAATGCCTTCAAGTGAGATGCTAAAACAAATCAAGTAAGAAGTTGCTAAAATAAATGCCAGCAGACCAGGGGCAAGACAAGGTATCAAGATTTTCCCAGTACATAAAAGAATAATGCCTTCTCCCATAGCAATCCCTTTGAAAACACCATTTTGGCAGAATAAAAAGACCAACTATTTTACTACACTAGCACATTCATCACTATTGGCAAACCTTGGCTACACAGCAAAATCTATCATCTGTTAGAGCTCAGATAATCATGTAATAGTATTTGGGGTCAGAGAGTATTCTGGAATTTATTTCAAGTCATTGGCTTGATCACATATGTATATGTAGATACATTTGCAATTTGTACCCAGGCACAAATATAAACATTAGATTTAGATGTGATGACAATGAATAAAAATATTTTATGACTTCTGATTTACTCGAGTTTTAAATCTTCATTTTAAGGCTGAATGCGTCTTCAGATTCTAGGAGAGGGGAAACATGCAGTCAAGCAATTTAGCGAATAATAGGAAAGACTATGAATGGACAGCAGATTTCATAGCAAGTCTTGGAATGTGAAGCAGAAAGCAAAGCCGATGGGCTAAGGAAGTGAGGGGAAATTAGAGGAGCAGAGCTGGGAGCACAGTGCAAGGGCAAGGAGGGAGCTGTAACTCACAAACTGCACAGAAGTCAGAACACAGTGGAACAGATAATGAGTAGAATGGGACTTGATCCTTAACTTTCTGAAAATTGTCTCGATAGGATTTTTTAAAAGTCCAGGCAGTGCGAGATGGAATTAGCTTGGCTAAAAAATTTCTAAAATGTTAAAATAGATACATTTCCAGTCTCTAAAATTATCCTGCCATTATGACTGTTACGTACAATGCTATGTTTCCCCTTCTAAATTGTCCTTTTTTTAGTAATCTTTATTTCTAATCTCGAGTGGAAGTGTCACAGGGTATATTCTTTCTGCTTTTAGAGATAACCTGAGATAACTGAATGAAGAACATTAGAAATGTTGCCATAATCTAATAGCTCTTTGAGGGTAAAAATAATTCCTAGTTTTATTCAAGTCATTAGAAATGATCAAATTTGGTTTCAAATCGGTCTTGTCAATGAGTTGAAATCAGAAGGAAGTAACCGTTGGCACCATTGGAAAGGAGAACCCCCAAAAACATTTAAATTCTCTGACCTTCTCGCTGTAGCTATGGAAAAGCTACAGAGCATACTTTTGGAGTCCACTTGCACTGCTACAAGGTGGACTCCGGTGACAGAGGGAAAGGCTGAAGGCTGGAATGCTGGGGTCAAGAGCTGCCTGCCAAGGTTGCCCTTCTTCCTCTCCTGCGGATCAGTAACCACCCACCCACGACCACTTATTTCCACCTATGGGTCCTAAGATAGCTGCATTTGGGGCCTGACTCTTACCACTAAAATGATGACAAATAAGAATCAAGGAAAAATTTAATATATAAAAACATTTTGGTTCTACAAGAAAATATTAAAACACTAGTTGAGATACTATGATGATATGGTTACCAATAGCAAAAGAGCTTTCTAGAAAAAGAGTGCCCCTTTCCTTACCCCCACCAGGGAATATTAGAGCTTGAGTAAGCAGCTAAGAGGCCTGGGCAGTTCTCTTAATTGTGCTTTTACAAGTTTATGGGAGGACTGCCACAGGACAAATTTGCTTCCGTTAAGCCCTATTTAATATAAAGACAAACACATCCTCAAATAGAAATGCTAATTGCTATATTTTTAACACAACCAACTACTCACATGTAATCTCATGAGAGTCAACTGACTTATTTATTCGCAGTACAAACAGCTATTATTAAAGACAAATTAAATGGTCTACAGGAAGCTGTTAATGTGACTCCCATGATGGCTGGAAGAAATCATGTCCACACCCGGAGAGTGACAGAGTGACAGACGAAGACTGGTTTGTAATCGTACTTACTGTCAGATACATAGCTGCATAGACACTGAGAGCCGCTTCTTTGGACGGGAATGTTTTCCGCGCTCTCATGATGAGATCTGGGTTGCCCGTGCAGGCCTCTTCCCCACTGATGAACTGTGTGTACTGCTGACACCCCAGCGCTGTGTAGTTGGGCTTACACAGGGCGAGGAAATGTGGAGCCAGATTCCCTGTAACCACTTGTCCTGCATTTACAAAGATGTCTGTAGCAAACAGCCCAAACGTATAAATTCCTGAGGAAGAAAACACACCATTTTAACTCTCTCTCTCTTTTTTTTTTTTTTTATTTCAATTTACAATAAACCAACATGGAAATATTTCAGAAACCATAAAATAGTTCATACATACGTATATACATACGGTTCTTTCCATTTCATTCCTCTCCAGCTACTTACTCCCTTTGCTTGCTGGAGTGGTGGGAGTGTTAAATTATTTAACATGTTGAGCTGTCTACCACTGGCTACATTTTTATGCATGGCAGGTTTATAAGCCTCGAGATAAAAGAAGAAGATATATTCTAAGACTCTACTTGGGTGATATGATTTTTTAAATGAAGACATGTTTCCCTAAAGAGGGCTCAGTCTATCACCTTCTGCTGTTAGCAATCTTTATTTTTCCCTATTTTGAAAATATTTTTTATCTTACTACCATAAAGCAAAGCAGTTGTCTCCCCTATTTATGCCTTTTAAACCCATTCAGACTGATATTAACTCTGCTGGAGGTGCCAATTAGCAGTAAAATCCAACGCCATCAGTCTTCATTTAAATATCATGGAAATCTTAAGTAGCAGAATGTTCTCAGAGTAATCTCTACATTGCTTTCGGAAACACATTTTTAAAAGTCACCTATAGCTAGTAACTTAGTCCCACCTTATCTTTCATGAATTTTAATTTATCAAATTTGGGTCAATTTAGTAAACAATAAAACTATCAAAATTATAATTTTTAATTATCTTCACAGTATTAAAATTTACTTGCTTTGATTACCTAAAGGTATAAAATTAAGTACACAGATCTTTTTCCTCCCTTTTATAAGGAACTTACCAGTTTACTCAAATACTGAAAACATTTTCTAAATTTAATGTCATTGATCATTGTTGCCAAAACTTATCTTTCTATTTAGGTAAGGTAGACAAAATAAATTCTTTGGCATCTTTTTCTATTAAACTGAGAGATAAAACATTCAAGGATGTGGTACCGATGTAAAGAAATCCATTCTTTTATAATTTTGGAAAATAAAATCCATCAGGACATTTTAAAAACTATACCAAAATAATATTTCCCAGTTGGTTCATTAAAATATCATATAACTCTATTATAGTAATTATATGCTTTTCTTTTTAGTCATATATTTCTGGATTGTTTGTTTCCTAAGCCTTCACATAATTATTGGCTATTGTGTCAGAAATCACCAGGAAATTTGTTCAGGATCAAATAATTTTCCAATATTCGATGCATGGTTATTCTTTCAATTTCCAAAATATTATATAAAATCATAAAAGGTTCATGAACATAAACCTGCACATAGCAAAGCTCTATGAGTATGAAATAGCAATGAAAGAAAGACCTTAGTTCTCTCTTTATTTAAAAAATTTTAAAGGAAATAATAAAAGCCCTTTCTTTACCTCTTACCAGCACTCCTTGAGTCATACAAATTAAATGTTATCAGAAGCAGAAATTTGGGAGAGGCAGAGAAATGAAAGAGAATAAAGCACAATAAAATGTTCATTTTACACAATTTCTCCTTCCAAATATTATGGCCTAGTCCAGGAACCTAAATGAGATCTTCGTCTCTATTCTTTGAAATCTAGGCTAAAATGTACTCATTTTATTTAACCAAACCACTCTCTTTATCTGGTATAAGTTTAAAATAAAGAAATATCCTGACACCTGTAAAGTTCCCAAATATGCTTTAGAATGAAAATGTTACTGCATCAAGCCCATGGCCAATACTATAGTTGACTACGAAGATACTTATTAAAATGAGATCCCATGAGTGTCCACTATGCTGACGTCCAGAATAAAAACACTATAAACAGTGATGTCCTGTTATGCAGTAATGCTTTACTTACAAGGTTCCTATTTTATTACGACAAACTAGAAAATCCAAATCTTGATAAATGAAGTAGCAAGAAACAAATGAAGCACTCCTAAATACTTCATAAAATCATATAAGAAGAAACATGGAGACTTAAAACACACTTACTTCGTGCCATATATACTTTAGAAATATGTGTGCAAATGCAGAAAAAAATACTTTACTTAAGTGGACATAATATAATTTGCTTAATGGTATTTAGAAAAGTGTGAATTTCATCAGTTTTAGTTTTGAGTACATTACTGCTTATTTTGTTATTAAATAACTCTCAGGCAAAGAAAAATGAGTCAAGAACACAGTATTGATGCATGTGAAGAAAAACTTTTTAAAATTTCACGTGAAAGTTATCCCTACCACAATGTAAATGACAGCTTTGGAGATGTGTAACTTGATGGCAATAAGAACAACAGTCTTAGATATGAAGACCTTTTGTTTTCAGAGAGATTTAAAGGTACAACGACTTTGATTAGACTTTATGTGAGTTTAAATGATCTATGCATAATACCTAAAAGTCTTCATCTTGATCCTATTAATATGAGAAATATATTGAAGGGTTATAGTATCCTTAATCTTAATTTTAATAACAATCACAATGTATTTCAAAGGATGTTTAGTATATACAGACATAATTTTTTATCTGATAAGTCCAGGAGATAATAATTTGTATTAAATTTATTGTGTCAGTAAAAATTTTGTCTTGGTCGTTTCTATTGAATTGAGATGATTTACAATAATTCATCAATGTTCATATTTGTTAGTGCTAGAGTTTGAGATTGAAAGTTAAAGTATCAGTAAATCTTGTCCTCTAATAAAATCAATACATTTTGTTGGTTAAAAAAAAAAAAAAAAAAGCTCAGAAGTGGTGCACGGAATTCAACATCTGATAATTTTAACAAATACAGCATGTCTTTTATTTGATAAGCTACTTTTCTTCTCCTTCATTATGTTCAACAATCTAAGTTATCGTTCTCCAAGCATTGTTTCTGAAATATCATAAACACAGTAAATCATTTCTTTAGTTAAGTAATTTTTAATTTCTTAAAGAATATTAAACATCCAAGTGTAATGTTTTTTCTTCTTTAAAATAATACGGAAATGACAACTGATGTGGAGTCTTACAATTTGAGAGAGTAGTATGCAGTGCTTATCTTTAAAACTCAGGTGAAACATTTCAAAGAAAATATAACCAAATATTTGCATACAGTTAAAACACTGGTCATTTTAAAGATTAGCTTATATATAAATATTGTTTCAGCAACAATAAAAACAATTCAATGACACATACCAAGAAATCGAACAGTTCGTCGCACCAGTGGGTTTATATAGCAACAGTCTCCGGTTAAAATAGTTTTCTCCTGGTTTTCAAAATCCCTTGTGGCCAGTTGTAGGCAAAACACAGCAGTTTCTCCAACTATTATCTTGCAAGGAAATAAAAGGTTAAAGAACTTTAGAATTTAACCAGTGTAATGGAGAATGTTTTTATTTTAAACAAACAAACAAAAAAACACAAAAAAGAGCTTCTTTGAGTAGTGACAATCAATAGAAAAACGGAACCATATTTGCTTAACCAAATCCTTTTATTATAACCTTATTTCTATGTATCTAACCCATATTTCTCTCAATTCAAGGGAGTATTAAACTAATAAATTATGAATACAAATGTTTTCTAAAAAACTTCATTAAAAAATTAAATGCACAAAAGATTTTTGCTTCAAAGTGGCAATCACTTATTTTGCTGTGTAATTAATGTCCATACTTTATCTTTAAGTAATTGTATCTTGTTTAACTTTGACACTGCCATAGAAATCAGAACAATTCTCTAGAGTAGCTAGAATCTCAATTCAAGTTCAGATCTATTTTAACCATCGCCTCTGTCTAGAAACTGGTGAGCTTTTCCTCCACCTTTTCTGGGTTAAGCTGGGTCAGCCCCTTGCTCCCTGCTCTGGCTTCCCAATGCCCAGGGTACACCCTGGAACTCCACCACATTCCCAGCATGTCTACAGTTTTAAGAGGAAAGTGTTGGGACCTCGTCAGGATCTCTGCAACTTCTGGGGCCTCCAGGAGTAAGAGAACTGCGTACAGAAAAAGACTTCCCTGATCCCTTTGACACACACGCCAGCCCTGCAGCAAAGACCCAAAGCAGCTTCTCATCACCCTTTCTAACTCTGCCGTTATTTCTCTGAGAGTCTGTTTTCACTGACATTTTCTCATGTTTCCTCTGCGTACCTTGATTCTTATGTGGAACTGGGGATCTCATGGTTTGGTCATTTGTCTCCCATCACCTAGACGGGGGCTCTTAGTCTGGAGTCACCGGCTGCCATTTTCATTAGATCCCCACAGCCATCGGTGGGTAAAGAGCATCACTGGTTTGCTTTCTCTCCCGGGAGTGGGAGATGGGGAAACATGATGGTGCAGGGGCACAGAAGCCAGACACAGGGCTGCTAAAAGCTTTGTCACTTCGTAGTTTTCCTTGATAACATTGCCTTTCTTTTGTGAACTAATAAATGAAAGCTGTTTCCAGAGAGAGCTGAGGTGACAAGTATTGTTAACTGAGCTGACTGAGAAGGCACGTGGCATCTCCTCCTGCCTGTCCACGGCGCCGGGGACACGCGCGAGGGACCTATGGCCCCGCTGCCGACTCTACGCGCTTCCTGCGGGGCAGAGGTTCTAGGGGGCGCTCCTCCCCCACCTTAGCGAAAGCCCCCCATTCGTTGGGACATGAAAGAAAACGGGTCGGGGAGACTCTACTTGCAGAGAGAGTGTAGGCTGGCACGGTAAGCACATAGCTGTCAACTTTCACTTCATTTCTTGCATCTGCCTTCCATTTTCCTTCTGGGTTCACAAATCTCATCCCACCCCCACTCTCCCTCTGCCAAGATTCAACCTGGTATGGAATGTGATAAGATGCTCACCAAAGGCTCAGGAGCCGATACCAAAGGGCCCTCACTGCTTCCCCTACCCAGCCAGGTTGTGTCTGAGGAATTGTGCTGTTCCTTGAGTCACAATCCCCTGCCAACTGCAACTTGATAGGTATGTCCTTGGAGGCAAGACCTGGGCTGGGAAACCTCACCTGGCCTGCATTCCACAGACCTCCCCATCTGAAGTCCTGTGTCCCCTATTATACCCCATGCTCTCATTGAGTCATCCCATCATGCTTTATTGAACTCAGTATTAACATCATGAAGCCTCTTGAGCCCTCACTACAGCTTATCAAGCTGGACCTACACAGCTCCCCCTTCCTAAATGGCCCCATCTATACCTCTTTCCCATCTTTGAGGACAGATGTGGTATTAGGTCTCTGTTTGGCAGTGAGTAAAAAGCCCCATATTGCTGATGAAACCAGAACCTACAAACATGCAGGTGTGAACCGTAAATCGTCAGTATAAGTGTGTAAAATACTGTTAAGAGTACATAATTGCTCTCACACTTCAACTCCCACAGGCTGATTCTCTATTGTCCAAATTCCTTAGTAACAAAATTATGAAGTAAAGTTTTCCAGGAAGATAAAATCATTGCAGATGTTCATCAAATGTCAAACTCCAAATAGCTTTATGCTTTCATTGACAAAAATCCAATATGAAATTCCTCTCCCCTTCAACTGGTGATGACTCAAAGATATCTATGCATTATTAGTTTGATATTGGTACAAGAAAACCATTTCATATGTAATAGCGCAGTTGAGGTCATGCCATCAGTGTGATGGTACCTGGCAAGTGTGTCTCATATGCTTCAGATATATGTGAAATAATATCTGAAAAGCAATTTTAGTCTGTAAAAGTATAGCCATGGGATATACAAAATTTTAAATGTAAGAGGGGTTTCGGTTTATATTTAGGTTCCGGTCGAACACATTGTGCATTCTTGATAATTACAAAGTCACATATATAGAGAGAGAGAGAGAGCGAGCCCATGTCCATTATCAATTTCAAGCTAGTCAAGGAAAGTTCTAAGCTATACAAAGAGGTAAAATAACTACACTGGGTATTATCGTTAATGTTGTGTCATGATATTGAGAAATAAGGTTTCTTCTGTGTATATATTAATTTCAACACCCTTGCTATATAAGGCAGTTGCTAACTTAGTTTTTAAGTGGAACCGAGGTTAGAAGAGAGGGAAATTAATTGAACTAAAGAAATAATATAGTTAGTGACACAATCATTGCACAATCCCTCCCAGTAATTAAGAAACTATATATTTCACAATTTGACCACAAAAACTTGTATTCTTGTTTTCATACTAATAAGTTGCTGTGGGAGGTGATTATCTAGCCTGGACCAACATTCCCTGCACACCTGCCTCTAGGTGACTTATACCAAAGGAATGTCTGGATGCATTATGTGTGTCAGTTTCAGACCAAAGAGGGAACAAAAATCAGGGGTGTCTTCATGTTCTCTTTCCCCATCTGCTGGCTGGAAGCAGAGCTATTTCTGGGCCCAGCACTTGGTGGCAGAAGATGGAAGGACTCAAAGTCCTTCAGTCAGCAGCCCTGCACTGAATTGTCACGTGAGTGAAAGATAAACTCTAATGTGTACAGCCAGTGGAATATGGGGGTTTATTTGTTCCAGCAGCTAAAACTTGCTAATTTCACCATTTTTAATAAAGAGGGAGCAAGTCTCAGGCTCAGAGTCCAACAGAAAACAATAATTGGCTAGAATCGAAAAACACTGGCTTTCACTGATTTTTTTTTTATGGTTACCTTCTATTTACCAAGTGATATTTGTATTCCATTTATGGTAATGATATAAGTTTCTTTTTGTAATAATTTTCTAGTAAAATAGAATTATTTAAAGAAAAAAATAAATGATAGTTGAGGTGGTATTCATCCATCATAGAAAGCACGAAGGTGATACCTTCATAGGAAAATTTGGGAAATACATAACATAATAAACATTAAATTAAAGCTTCTGCACAGCAAAAGAAACAATCAACAAAATGAAAAGGCAGCCTATGGAATGGGAGAAAATCTATGCAAATCATATATCTGATAAGGGCTTAATGTGCAAAATATAGAAAGAACCCTTACAACTCAATAGCAAAAAAAGCAAACAACCCAATTTAAAAAAAAAATGGGCAAAGGAAATGAATAGACAGTTTTTCAAAGAAGGCACACAAATGGCTAACTGACACATGAAAAGTGCTTGACATCACTGATAATCAGGGAAATGCAAATCAAAAGCACAAAGAGCTATCCCCTCACATCCGTTAGAATAGCCATCATCAAATAGACAAGAGACAAAAAGTGTTGGCGAGGAGGGGATGTGGAGAAAAGAGACCCTTGTGTACTCTTGGTGAGAATGTGAATTGCTGTAGCCACTATGAGAAACAGTATGGAGGTTTCTTAAAAATTAAAAATAAAACTACCATATGATCCAGCAATCCCACTTTTGGGTGCTTATCCAAAGGAATTGAAATCAGAATATCGAAGAGATATCTGCAGCATTATTCACAATAGCTAAGATGTAGAAACAACCTTAGCATCCATCTATGGATGAATGGATAAAGATGAGGTACATATAAAACGGAACACTATTCAGCCATGAGAAAGAAATTCTTGCCCTTTGCAACAAATTGGATGAATCTTGAGGACATAATGCTAATTATGCTAAGTGAAATAAATCTGACAGAGAAAGACAAATACTGTATGTTATCAATTACATGTGAAATTTTTTTTAAAAGGAAGTAGAACTCACAGAAACAGGCAATAGATTGGTGGTTACTAGGGGCTGGGGTCGGAGGAGTGGAGAGATATTGGCCAAAGGGAACAAATTTCCAGTTATAAGATTAATAAATTCTGGGGATCTAGTGTACAGCCTGGCAATTATAGTTAATAATACTGCATTATATACTTGAATGTTACTGAAAGATTACATCCTTTTTCCCAAGCTTTATCAAAATATAATAGACAATTACTTGCTCATATTTACATTGTACAATCCAATGAGTTTTTTCAATTATAATTGGCATACAATAATATATTAGTTTCAGTTGTACAGTATAATGATTAGAGCTCAAGTGATCACTCCATTAAATCTAGTACCCTTCTCCTCCCTTACATATTTATTACATAGTTGAATATTTTCCTTATGCGATGCTTTATCTCTCCGTAATTATTTTGTAACCATCCATGTGTATTTCTTAATCCCGTTGCCCTTTTCTACCATCTCCTCCAAACTCCTCTCCTGTCGAGTAGCTCACAAAATATTCTCTGTATCTACGAGTTTGTTTCCATTTTTGTTGTTATTGTTGTTTATTTTGTTCTTTAGATTCCGCATGTATGTGAAATCATGTGGTATTTGTCTTTCTCCATCCGACTTACTTCATTTAGCACAATCTAGGTCCATCAAGGCAATATCTTTTCCTCCCCTTCCTTTCAGTCTGTGTGTCTTTCAATCTGAAGTGAGTCTCTTGGAGGCAGCAT